AAACAGTCATCCGTAACACCCTTGACTGTGATTACGAACAAGAACATCTTACTGCTTTTTGAAATATTTTTTCCTTTCAGTCTCATCTTCTGCTTCATCCTGGCCGCCTTTCCAGTCGCAGAGAAAACTCTTAAAATTATTGTGCTTCTCCCACCATGGAGGTCTCCCACCTCTATAAAGCACTCAGATCTTTGGATGAAAGGTGCAATCTATTTTAAGTGCAAAATACTACGTCTGAAGTCAAGCTCCGTACAGGACACCACAGGTCCAGCGTTTGGTCTCCCCACCCATCTCACTTTATGGCCATGGGAGTCAAACAGGAATGACTGGGAAGATACCAAACCTGGAACAAAGTCCAACCACTTTAATATATTTCAAATATATTCCGCAAACTATTTAATATATAAAAAGCAACATTAAAATAATTTTGCTTTTTATACATGCTCGTATGATGCGCTCAAAACTGGGAAATATCAGAATTAAGGCCGCCTGTCCTACTGCCAGCCACATTACCAATCTAGAATAATCAAACCAAACATTTTTGCCCGTACAGGCTCTCACGCGAAATGTGTTTCACAACCCCCCCCTCCAAATGCCTTTTTTACTGGCGCTGTTCCCGCCCCGAGTGGCTGACAAACTCTGCTCAACTTCCCCAAGCGCTCCTACAAAGTTGCCCAACGGGGAACAAATGTTAACATGAAAATGCTATTTTAAGGAGTCACTATGTTGTTTTAAAAATTTTTTTAACCACCACCATTTCATAGCAGCGCTATTGCTGTAGTTGCAATGGTCTAATCACACAGGGCACGTGTAGGTCGCATCTGCAGAAGCACCAAGTCTCCAAACCCAAGCCAACCCCCCCGCCCTGGTGCAGATCACCAGAGAAGCTTCTCTTCCTGCAGCTCCCGGCTTCGTTTGCTGCCCAACCTCCCACCGCTGTAACGGACGGGACAAGGACACCACGGGGACATTTTCTGGTACCTACAGTCCCAGTCCCCTGCTCCCAGTCTGGTGCACCATACCATCGGGACAGCCGCCGCGCACGGGCAGCGCAGTAGTACGCGACTGCACCGTAACGCCCACACGTGGAGACTTGAAGTCTAAGCTTTAAAGGCAATTTTAATTCTGCCATTTCTCAAACTTTTGAACACTTTGCTTCCTGGGTTTAAAAGCCAAGGCCATCTGAGGCATCCTGTGCTACTCGTAGCGAGTTTTAGGAATGGGGGCAAGACGAGAGAGTTGTTCAGTTTTAACAGACACGTACCTCCACGTCAGAGGCGAGCACAGCCTCTGCCGCGGCCACGCTGAGTCCCCACGTCAGGGAGGGAGGGCAGAAGCCTGCAGCTCCAGTGCCTGTACAGCGTGGAGATGTC